ACTTTCAATGGAAAAGATAAGCAAAAAGAAAAGAAAAGAGAGAACGTAAATAGTTTCAAGTATTTTAGAAATGTCTTCCGGTATTTCCTCTTACTGATCCAATATATATATACATCACTAATACCACTATTGTAACACATACTATACGTACTTGACTAATGGAAACATTAGAAAAGAACATTTCAGTTATAATGTTTTGTAAATGATAATTTGGAGAATGCTTTATAGAAGAATTCAATTTAACGCGATATACCTTCCACAACAGCTTTCGCATCCAGGTTCTTCCCGTAATGTTTGCCAAACTTTTTCAACTGTCCCGAAGTGACGGAATAAACTTGAAAGCCGGTTATACAGAATCCGTAAGTACGCTTAGATTCGGCGTACTTCAATTCTTCTGTCGCTTTTTTCTCAGGCGTGGCCAAAGGATCCCACGTTCGTCTACCTATCTTTATATCCATCACACACGGCTCTGCCATACCTTCGGTGATATCTTTCAGCTTGAGGAACGTTATTTCTGATATTTTGCAAAAAAAAAAAGAATTAAATTATACTTGTGTTGAAGCAGTGGCGAAAGGTCAGAATCAAAGTGGTAAGTAAAAAATAAAAAAAAAAGAATACTTAAATGAAAGACGAACTTAAAAAGTTCAATACTCTTGATATCTTACGTCTGCCGAAAATTTGTAACTCTGCCGTGCCGTAATATCTTGGAACGTAACTCTTCAGTTGTATCATAACAGGATCTTGCGATATTTGTAAATTTTCATAGAACGTAATTTCTCTTTTACCAAGTAACGGTTTAATAACAGGTTTAAATACACGGCCATTCGACGTACGCAACATCCCTATAACATTTTTAATTAACCATTTTATCATAATTTCGATCGTCAATATCGACGTAAAAAAAAAGGAGATATTATAGATGAAAATTCGTATTAGTGAAAATCAAATTAAGTCGTATTTCCTGTGTAACAAGACAATAAACGTTTATTAAAAATAAAGTTGACGAGAAATAGTAGAATTTCCTGTAAAGAGGTACGAATATTCAGAAATGTGGCGAGTTGCAAGAAGTGTTTGTACTTCTGTTTTTTTCCCGATCAAATTACCAAACACAAATCGCTCAGCGAGACTGCTTTCTCGGTAATTTCATCTTCCGTGGCGTGTAATTCGATCAGATGCTTACCAATCGTCTGCCGTTCGCTGTCTAACGAATGTCCGGCTACCCGAGATTCCAATGGACTAATCCCAACAGGAAGTCCATAGTCGGACGAAATTTCAGCAACCTCTATCTTTGAAAGCTTATCAAGATGACATAAAGTTTTATCGGCCTGCGAGTCTAAGGTCGCCATCGTTGTTGCACTGATTTGCACGCAGTAATTACTTCTGTAATTAAAGAGTTGCACGAGATCGCAAAAGATCTTATCTCCGCTGCGAAATCCACCTGAGCCACCAGCGATTACACATCGAAGCTTATTCTAATTATCTTGGGCTCTCTTATTTCCGTCTATAAATACAAATTTCAGTTGAACAAGCTGAACACACTAGGATAGATATAGTATGCATGTACTTATGTATTACTATGCTATTAAATTAATTGCATAATTTTCCATCTAATCTTCTCGAAAAATTCCCTCATATAATGATCAGACATTTTTATATATATTCTAATTTTATCGTTAGAAATTACCTATATATCACAATAGAAAACACTAGATTTTTCTAAACAAATTTTTATCGAATAAATCAATACACATATTTCTCTTAATAACAGCGTTTTTAAGCGACAAAACGATTTAGAAGGAAAATGCATCATGTTTCAGATGGATTATTCTTTTTGTCTGACAGAATCGAATTTCTATTACTATACTGTTATTCTATACACAGTATCGATAATTCCACTCTTAAAATAGATGTTACCTTTGATAATTCCTTCTCACTCGAACATCAGCAACTTAAAATTTTGCATTAAACATGTCACAGGTATCACATCACACTGAATAATACATATCTATATAGGTGTTATCTCTCGATGCTCTTTCAAATGATCGAAAACCGAAGCAAGTTAGATCGAATATTTAGCGCGAAACACTTTTCAAACGTCGAATTAAGGTATTCCTTTTAAACCGACAGATGGCAGAATGTGTTTGCGAAAACTAAATATTCTAAATTCGCGCTTTTACCAACAAATCGTGATATTCGTTGTTCTTTTCAAATGCAACATTAGCAAAGATAATATTTGCGTAATTAAATTGAACTCAATTTTCTACCTGTGTAACTACGTCTATGGGGTACTAATATGTACGTTCGTTAATTAATACGAGGAACCCATAACATTTTAGGAATTGACATTCTGAGCAAACGAAAGAATCATAAAATACAACTCATACAAGGCATACGTACATTTATTGGAAATAACAGAAGAATAATTTATTAGCCACTCTTCTTTTACAATTGTTACATCTATGACATTTTACATGCCTATGTATTATTATAACCTATACGATAACCAGTCCACAACGCAATACAATGTGCTCGAATACGTAACACTTTCACGTAAATAATTTCGTTCGAATCCGTCCGTGCATTAGGCGGAACAATGATTACGTTCACGAATTTAAACTTCACATAATTATAAACGATCACACGTCCTTCCACTAGACGTCTCTTTATATTTCTATTGCTGTCTCTTTCGTCATAGTGCAACGATTCGTCTACGTTCCACTAGAGGGCTATTGTTTTTATGAAATGAAAATTTTTCCCGCCACATTCACGATCGTTAAGCAAAATTACGCATTTTCACTTTGTGTATTTTTCGCCGCTTCTTCCTCTGCGGTGTGCCTTTATAACCTAAATATTTTGCTTAAAGACCTGTCGTGCTAAAAAGATATTACCGTATATGAATATTGTTTCACTGTATATTTAGTGCAAACGTAAGTGATAGTGTAAACACAAAACGACGTATGAAGAAATATTAAATACTGTTTGATAGTACTTAAAAAATTTGTGACTTTTGGTGATAGAAGATACTTATCCAAACAGGTAGGTTTCAAAACAATCAACAACAATGGTTTTCTTAAATGTTTTTCTATTTGTCGGGAATTGTAGTAAAATTAATATACACAAGAAAACATAATGTTATCAGTCCTTTCTTTCTCATTTCACCTTAATGTAACTAATTAAGATTTTAATGTACAAAAAGGTACATGATGTTAATACAAAAGTATACAAATTTATTTAGCCTCTTATGCACACAAATATATCATTATATTTACAATAATAGAAATATACTTTACTTATTTTTATTAATATGAACAATAATATTTTTTAAGATATTTTTTTTTATAACAGTATTTGTACAAAAATGTGTTTATAACCTTGAATTGCATATCAAGTTCATGTCTGTTATACATAAAATATAACTAATCAAGCTGTCCATTTTAAACATCTTGTATCAAGATGGGTACCTAAACACTTCATGCTACAATATCTAGCACCACAAGGAATACACGTATAGTTACTAGGAAAACCACAAACTGCACAAAACTGTCTCTCAGGAAATCTAGATGGTGGTGCTTGAGCAGACACATAGTTGGGAGGATTTGGATTGACATTAAGATCCTCTTCTACCAATTGAGCAAAAGTTTTGCGAAATCTTTGCTTGTAGTACTCTGCTGATCTAGTCTTCTTTCTTCTGCCCCCTCTGTTATCTAATGTCTCTTGAAACTTTGGAACTTTTTTGCTCATTACTAAAACAATTGCAAATATTTATAAAATAGATATTTGATGCATTGAAAAGATACAATTATCAAAAGCATTTAGATTATATTAAACCTAACCTAAATCAGCATGTGGATCATCATGAAAATTATCTTGCTCCAAAGCTTCCAATGCTTTCTTTTGTCTACGTTTACGGGCAGCTTCATCAAGCACCCTCTTTTGATAGGCATCTTTTATTCTACCAGATTCTCGTGCAGCCATGTTTAATTATTGAATAATAAACCTCTACTTTTTAAACTATTTTATAATATAATATACAGAGAAATCTTCCTTAATAATTATTTATATTCCTTTTTCTGCTAAAGGAAATGATATCTGATCCATAAGATCATCTACTTTTGTTTGCAAAGTATCTAAAATATCAGAAGAAATAAATAAATGTCTTTCATCCAGATCTTGAATAATAAATTTTCGTCCTAAGGCAAATGTCTCATCCAGATGCAATAGAAACTGCTTCATAGCTGCATCACTGAAAACATAATTCATTAATTTTCATATTTATTTTATTGTAGTTTTCTAAATAAAATGTCTAAACGAAAAGGGGTTTCTCTTGATGAAAAACGTACAAGAATGCTTCAATTATTTTATGAAAGAAGAGAATTTTTTACTTTGAAAGAGTTAGAAAAAATTGCACCAAAAGAAAAAGGAATTGTAGGACAATCTGTAAAAGATGTACTACAAGCATTAGTAGATGATGGATTAGTTAGGTCAGAAAAAATTGGAACATCTGTATATTTTTGGACTTTTCCAGGGTAAGAATAAAGTACATCATTCTATTTCATGTAGGTATATTATTTCATCACAAAATAATTTATAAACAAACCATGTGTATCATATAGAGAAAATATTACTGCAATAGAACAAAGAATATCTGAAGCCACTAAAAAAATAGTGGGAGCAGAATTTAAACTGCAGAAACTAAAGGAAGCTTGTGAAAGAGAAAAGGTAGTGAAAGAAAGTAG